TTAGCACCAGATACTGACGCAAAAGGGTACCAGCGAAAGGATCAGATGCACGAGAGTTGGCTTTAAGCGTTTGGCCCCTTTGGCTGTGCTACTAGCGTCCCCCATGACAGAGCTTTTGCGGGGCGTCCGCAGACCATTCCGGGGATTTTGTTTATATCGTCCATAGTCCAACGAACTGCTTCTGTCCTGCTTGGGTAGTTCAATAATCACCTTTGGTTGGCCAATATTCATTGCGTACCGAAACCTGGCGGAATATTGTTTTGGGGTTGCATTGGTGCGCTTGCAGCAAGAGGCTTCATGAACCACAGGACAAACTTTAGACCACCACAATCATGGTCATTCCTTGAAATATGAAACCTTGACGGTTACCCACAAACTCGCCTGCAGGGAAGATCAGTGTGCTTTGGTTTTGCGCGGGTTTCTTTCCACAAGCGCCAACCAGAATAGAGCAAGTACTTCCAGTTGGCGGACAAATAGGGGTTTTGGCTCAAAATGAAACGATCGGAGGGGCTAATTACGCAGGTGTTGGTCCATGTTTCCACTTACCCGGGCAACCCATTTCTTGAGCCACGGCCAAAATCAGCTTGCTGCGCCTGAACGGAGCCCGGTTCGACGTGGTTCGACTTGGTTTCGACTTGGTGAAAGCATGGCATGCTGCAAGAAGAACTGGGCCAGCGCGATGTTGGGCGCGCTTGGGTTCCCATACCATAGCTATATATCTATATTTGGGTGTGGGTCAAAATTAGGCCACCAGGATATGGACCGCAGGTCTTAGTCTTTGGTTCCATTTACCAGGGTTCCATTTTGGGTGCCTATGTTTGACCCACTGCCATTTTAAGCCTTACCCAATATGGAAGAGAGTCAGGATGTTCTTTTCTGTGTACCCCAAATGTGGGCCATGATGCTGGTCAATTGCGTGACGAAACACAAGGGGATGGATATTTGGCTGGTTTTCGAAACAAGAACTAGCCATCCAACTAGAGGCCAAATAGCCCATGTTCTTCATTTACCCAACGGGAAACGAAAAGGGGCTGCCTTCTTTTTCCAGACTCCATTTAGCACCCAGTAGGGAGACCCTAGAAAAACCTCAATTGATAAGAGGCGGCTGTCACCCACAAAAGTGAAGGATTCCATTGAATTGAAAAGACACAACTGAACCGAACCGCTAAACATTTTGGCTATTTGCTTGGATCTGTTCACTTTATATACCTTGTTTGGAAACAGTTGGTTTTCCATTGAACCCACAACAAGTTAAACTTTTGCAGAGGGTTAACAGCAACCAAGCAATCGTCTGCCCCTGAAAAGGGACACCCCCCGTTCAGGGCTTGATTCATGCACACCGCCAGTTTGGCCCGTGGCTCGCTGTTTCGAGGGGAAGAGAGAGAGAGAGACTCCGTCCAAAGACAGCGCTGAACATCTAGGTCCCCCAGCTAGGTGCCCTTTTACCGATTCTTTCTTGGGGGAAGGTTCCCCTACTAAGATAGACTACAGACAAAAGGGTACCCCTTATTCGAACCTCTCTACTGGAAAACCTAGACATAATGTCTAACTAATTCGAATGGGGTTGTGTGGAGGGACTTGGAAAAACCACGGTATCTCATGAGAGAGAGGCATGTTCGGAAGTGTTCATGTCTGGAGTTGTTTGTGGTCAGCTCATTGATTTGGGTGTAACACGTTCGCAAGCCAGGATGTAGGTCCTTTTCTTGCAGATCAGACATTTCAAGTGTTGTTTTCTGAGTAAGTTCAGCAGACGGGTCCAGGTTTGGCAACTTTCATGCTGGTAAGTCGTTGCCGTCTACTCTACAGCATACTGGTAGAAGCTAACAATTCGATATTCGGGGTGGGAGGTTGACCATTGAAACCCGGTTCGAGGAGGGCTAAGGCAATCCCAATCGCTAGGTGCGGAAAACGGGCAGACCATCTTCAGTTCTTATGGTTTTTGGATGGGCCATCTTAATAATTACCAGGTGTTGGTTGTGACTATGACATTGGCACGTCTCTTGGACGAGTCTTGAGAAAATGCCGCGGCAACCTGTTCCAACGCGCGCGGCCGAAGGAATCTTGGACACCCTGTGACTTAGCCAGTGGATTCCCATGAGTCTGTCGGATCTTATCCCAAGTGCCCTAGGGTTCAACTTCCATGAAAAGAACAACAACCCAAGAAGAACAACCCGACAGAATATCAACTTCCATGAATAGAACCAATTTAGATGATGACAATTTATGGGAAACAATGTCGGTTTTATTCCCACACCTTTTTTTAAATGGCGGTCGTTTTCGCCAGCACGTTCCCGGGGTGTCCAATGTGAGACCGAATGGCCCTGGAGAAACGCAGATCCTTTCGGCCAGAGGCTGGGCTTTGAAACATACAATCGGATTGAGCAACCAAAAGGCATCATAAGCATACACATAATCTAGGTCCCCCAGTTGTGCCCTTTTTCTTCTTTTTTGGGGAGGGTTCCCCTACTAAAATAGACTACAGAAAAAAGGGTACCCTTATTCTATCCTCTCTACTGGAGGACCTAGTAATGTATACGGTGGATGGCAATGCTTCAAGGAACCCTCTCACTTACCGCAAGGACCTTGCTGGTGTTGGGCTGGCATGTTGTTTCGGCATCCACTGCATCAGAGTTTCCACTCGGTTCCCTGAAGAGAACGCTGCAGGTTGCTTAAAAAGGGTGATATTATGTTTAAACAAGGATTGGATCAACCCTCCCTCATGGCATGATGAATTTGCAGGGGGAATCACCTCCAAAGTGGTTGGCATGAACCCCCAGGATGTCCACCACAGTTGCCGTCCAGAAAGAAAAAAACAAAAACACACACACACAGAGAGTCGTTTGGGACGCTTCAAGCCAGCCTCAGGGCAATTCACACGTCCGGTATCCAGAAAAATGGATCGCAACCCCCCGGGCGCGGCTCGGCGCGGTTCGGCTCGGCGCGGTTCCCCGATGCTTTTTCGAGACGAGTGGGTGTGTCCCTCTGCCAAATGCTCCCCAGATTCCACAGGCCTGGATTTGGGGGTTTAACCCACTTGGCGCAAGTAGGTGACCCTTGTTGCCAGGCGAACTCCTGCCCATGACAACCCCCCCACCTACCTCTTTTTTGGGGAACCCTCTTTTGGCTGGTTTTAAAGGCAAACCAAAGGGGCCAGACACACCCAAGTGGCTTTTGCATCAAAGCTACATAATTTGATCGACCTTTGGCTGAGCAGCCCAGCCCCCTCCCCCCCCAAAGTTCCAACCAGATTTCTGCCCACGAAATCTGCTGACCGCGCCTGGGCGACGGCGTTTGTGAATTTGTGGATGGCACTGCCGTCATGAAGCTTAAGCCGGAACCTCAGCTTTGGGGGTGAGGGGTTTGCCAAAGGGCCCCAAAAGGAGGGCACCCCATCCAAAACCCTTCCTCCCACCAGCATTGCATTTGTGGGAGGGTATCTGGAAGATCAGTTTCCTTTTATAGGCACAGGTGCCATGTTGGTCGGAGGGTACACTGTCACTTGTGAATCAGCCATCCGTCGTTTGCACCCCTATTTATCGGGATTGGGGAATCGGCACCCAAAAACGGGGGGCCCTTGGCAGGGTGGAAAGTGCGCCTGGACCCTCAAATGTCCAACTAAAAAGCGGGTTGCAACCTAAATCGTGGTTGGTAAATTCTTGTGTTTCTTGTTCTTTCTGTAATTTTAGGGTCCAGGTGGTTTGCTTCTGGTCCTTTAAAGCCATCGAACAAAGCTGGAAAGAGACGAGCCGCTCACTTGGCCAAATCCAGATTATCGAGTGGGAACCCACACGCTGGGAATCTCTAAATGTTCCATGCGCCTGGGGCTTCAGTTTGTTTTTTTTGACTGACGCATGTCCCACTTGCGGTACTCCCTTGGCAAAACCGCCAGATTGGTTTTCCTGGGCAATGATCCCTTCGGGTGGAAACCTGACCAATATTGAGAATGACATCCATGAGTGCGATTGCAGACCCGTCACGGACTTTTTGTTTTGCGGTTGGGGAGGGACTATTTGGGTATGTCTTTCTTTGAGGGTACCTGCTGCCTTTTTGGCGGCTTTAAAGATAAGCCAAAAGGACAACCACCCATTCTGGGGTGCCCGTTTAATTCTGGGAAAGGCAAATCCCAAAAAGCTCGCCAGGACGCTTTGCTTATGAAGTCCCTCTCTTGGCTATTTGAAGTTTTGATTACCCAGGGTAAAGCCAAATTCCCGAGTGACAAGGCTCCACTCCAAATACCCACTTGTTCACGTTTTTTTTTTTTTCCTGGTTTTTCAAGGTAAATACCACCTTTTTTAGTGGAGGGTCGACATGATACCCTAAAAACAGCGAGTATTGGCGTAGGGGGTATGCGTCTACAGACCCCTTGAAGATGAAAACTTGTCTTCTGGTAGAGGACCTGATTGACTTCCTTGGTGGGAGGGTCACTCCAGGGGTACCTTCCATTTCCATGCTTTTCAGGGATCCGAATCTTTCTAGAAAACCTCCGGAAACCCAGGGAAACCGGCCGGTTGTTGGAAACGATGGTTGCAGATAATGGGGAATCAACCCCTAGAGTCACCTTCCATTTTTTTAGCGTTTGGGATGACTCGCATAGCGGCAAACTAATGACTGGCTTGACTATCACGACTTCGTTTGGTTTTGAAGTGCACGACCCCTTACTAGTACCTCCGTACTCAGGCCCTTGTAGTATATATTTCGCCTTCCACTTGAGTCAAACTCGAAAGCTGGGCAAGGATGGCAAAGGACAGTCCCAACATCCCTGACCCCCTGCCCTTAGGGTAGCATCTCCCAACCATGGTGCGGATATTGGCTGGATTCTTTAGTTTGGAAGGTGGACTCCTTTAGCAGGTTTTGACTATATGTTTGTGTTTCTCACATTCCTGAGTTCCCGCTTTGGCTTTGGACCATTTTAGTGGCCACTAAAAAGTGTGGCTACGTTTGTGTTGGCCAATCCACAAGAAATCGGAAGTGAGTTGTGCGGTAGCCCATATGATTTTTTT